TCTTTGAGAATTTCATAGTATATATTTTGATTATATTCAGACCCCCTCCACCATCTCCTCTTAGCTTCACCCCCTACCCTCCACCTGCTTTGCTTCATGTCCTCTATTATTATTTTTAAAAGACCTATCAAGTCTAACTGTTGTCCCTCAAATGCTCCTGGATGTGGGTTCATCCCCTGGAGCTTGGACGACCTACCCAGCATCACACCCTTAAAGAAACCAGAATCTCCCTCTCCCAGCAGCTATCAATTGCCAATATTCCTTAGCTAGGGCTGAGGCTTCTTGCTACCTCCCCCCTTCTATGCTGGGCTTTTGTCTGTCTTGGGCTTGTGCAGGTCTTGTGAATACTCTCACAAGCACTTTGGGTTCATATGTGTAATTGCCCTGTTGTGTCTGGAGAGCAGTTTCCTTGTGTTCATCCCTCTAACAATCTTTCTACCCCCTTTTCCACAATGATCCATGAGCCTTGGGAAGAAAGGGTGTAATATAGGTGCCCCATTTATTTTCTGCATGTTGACCAGTTGTGGGTCTCTGTGTTAATCACTGTCTGCTGCAGGAGGCTGCTCTGGTGAGAGTTGAGAGATGCATTAATCTACAGGTATAATAATTAATCGTTAGGAGTCTGTTTAATACTATGTCCATGTAGCAGGCTAATAGTAGTGAGTTCTCCTTTATGGCTTGTAACTTTAGATCACTTTTGACTATCCAAGCAGATGTTTGGTTCTTCTTGGGGGCCAGATTTGGGGAAGAGACCATATAAGCCTTGAAAGAGGTCCAGAACTGTCTAAAAAGAATATTCCCAGAGCACAAGATAGAAGTAGGGTATGGAGTAGGTAGGCTCTGGATGTGCACATTTCCTGTGCTTTGGAATCTTCTAATCATTTGAAGAAGGAAGACAATGAAGAGAGCCACATAGAGTGAGATTCTTTAAGAGGATGGAACACAAACTGAGTTTGCCTTGACTGTCTTAAGACCAGTGCTGTTGTTACTGAACCCTAGTCTTCCAAGGAAAATAAAATGGGAACTGACTATTGTGGCCTGAGTGAACCGGCAACTTCTACATCTCTTTTACTTGTTTACTGTTATGCTCGTGTGTCTAGTGATTCTCCAGGCGTCCTTTAAACAATACTTAAAGTTCCAGTTCCTAATGCTAGTGTTATAAATGCAGAGGATGTTTCTGCTATTTAGCTCAAAGATGGAAGCTCAGGCCGGTTCCCTTTATTAACCACTGAAGCTGTTAAGTGGGGAGTGATTGAAACTAGTCTGGTCCCTAGCCAAGGGGATAGCTAAGCTCTGAGCATTGCTTTTATTGAGTTGGAGTCGGGGGTGTCACACAATTTCCAATATGGACTTTTATTGTCCCTTTTGGGTCTCTGCATTGCCTGATGTCTTCGAGTGCAGTTTCTGCTCAGACTGTGGTGACAGGATGACAACCTCCCTGCGTGCAATCTTGTCTCAATTCCCATGTTGGTAGTATTGTGCTTCATTCCACTCTCTGTAGTCCCTGGTATTTTCAGATTCTGAGTGGCATGAAACTGGGTCACATGCATTGATTCCCTTTTCCAGAATATTCCCTCAGTGGGAGCTTAGGCTGTAGCTATCAGGAAACTCTATTTCTTTTATATTAGAATGTTGTAATGAACAAGCGTTAAGCCACAATAATCTAGTGCATAGAAAAGCTCTCTATTTCCAGGTACCAGTTAGTCTGTCCCCCAGTAATTTACGTGTTTCAATTTAGAAAAGAATTCTTAGGTGTGTGCTATATACTATGCAGCATGTAATGCTTCTACTACCTGACCTGTCTTAGTTCTCATTATAACCCTGAGTGGGTTTTATTTTACAGATCAACAATTTCAGGACTTACTCAAGGGTGAGTAGTCACCCTAGAATTAATTCCCAACTTTACAATTCTGATAGTAGCTCTCCAGTCATTTTGGGAATGTGGAATTCTGATTTATTATTACTATTTTTATTTCACTAAAACCTCCCATTTGTGAATCTGCTCACCATAGTATAAAACAAATAAAAATTGACAGATATAATTTTCATTAGTCTAATATTAATTAGAAGTGGCAAGTTAACTCTACCATGGTCCTTATTGATGTGGAAGTACGTATACATTCACCTGTACACTTATGTACTCATTATTATATGCTTATTTGTACATCAGTCTTTGATTTTAGAAAAATTAATTTTGTCCACAATATGAAGAAGGAATTTTGAGTTCTAGAGAAGCAGTTTATCTTCTAAGTGAGAGCCTTTTGGGTACAGTTTTAAACAGGATGCTTTCAGACCAGAATGTGTCCAGAGATGAGCACTGAAGGACTTAAATGTCTCAGTTGGTTTTCTATTGCTACAATAAATAGAGAAAAGTTTATTTAACATACACTTTAGGGAGCTGACAGCCTAAGATTAAGTTGTTCTATATGTTCAATCTCTGGTCTGGGCCTTCAGGCTATATTATAGCATGGTGGATGCCATCACCATGGGAGCACATGTAAGAGGAAGCAATCATAGGGGCAAAACAGGAAACGAGAGACTTTGGAGAAGCCAGGCTCTCTCTCTTTATAACAACCTATTCTAGCATGAAACAATTTAGATTTACTCCTATTATTAATTTGTTCTTGAGGGTAGAGTCCCCAGTAACCCAATCACCTCCCAGTAAGCCCCACCTCATAAAGGTTCTACCACTTCAACATTGCCATATTGGGTTTTGAGTAAGCTTCTAGCACATGAACTTTTGGGGGACATGGGCAAACCTAATCCAAACTGAAACAGTGGTGAGAGAAAACAAGCCAAGGAGTTTCTATATTCAAATATCTACAGTACTTTTTGTGGAAGTTTGAAGGATATCACCTTCTACTGACTCCTATAGGCATATCTTAGACAAGCTGGTACAAGTTATAGGAAAAAGACATTCTAACTATGATTCTGAGCTGCATCATAGAGAGTAAGGTCCTTGTCTCTGGTAGAGTTGAAATGGAGGCTCTTGACTGACAGAGCAGATATGGGAGAAGATCCATCGTCCAACTTAGACTTTAATCCCCTGACTTTCAATCTTCAGGTTTGGAGTTTGATAGTAATGTTTCTTTTGTCTTCTTGATGCTTGAATTCCATGGCAGAGCTTGTGAGAATTTTTGAAATGTTCCAAAGTGTCTTTGTCAAGCCATTTATGAACTGTCTATCCTTTGTCTTGCAGGAGAAAATGCAGAAGTTTCCATGGATGTTTCCCTGGGTTACCGTGATGACATGTTTTCTGAATGGACTGAAATGGCCCATGAGAGAGTACCAAGGAAACTCAAATGCACTTTCACATCCCCCAAGGTAGGGTACCTTGATCACTGAGTTGACAATGTTTGGTCCCCAGATATGTGGAAAGACTTGTTTATACTTTGCAGATCTGTTCCTTATTTCTTAGCATGCATGACCTGAAAGGTTTGTTGTTATGCTTTGTCTTGGAAGAGAAAAGTGCAGTGTAGATATTTCACAACCCTGTACATGAGGAAAGAACAGAGTGTTCATTTGAGATGGTTTGCTCATTTTTCTGATATACTTCTGTAAAACAACTCTTGGGTCTTTGATAAACAGCTGAAAGTGTTCAAAAGATGTTGCTACATTATTTTAGGGGATAGAACGTTTTTATATTGCATTAGTATTTGGATCTGTTTCTCAGTTTCTTTGATATTGTGTACTTCTGCAATTAATGTACAAGTATGAAGGCTGAAAATCCCAATGAACACCACAGATAAATAGAGGACCTTAAGGAGGGCATCTAGCTTCCTTGGAGACATCCCAGTCTTCTGCTTCATCTTTAGGATTCTTCCTTCTCTAGTTGTGTTAACACATTCATCCACTCATAGAAAGGATTATTTTCTCTTATGCTGAGGGTAGAGGCTTTAGATTGTCATAAGGATTGGCCTAGGGGCTTTCGGATGATAGTAGGAGTGCTATAAATGGACCAAAGCAGAATTAGGTGACTGCCTTTTTAGTTCAGCTACTGCCCTTGTACACACCTCTCTGAGATTCTGCCTCTTCCTTTCCCCCTCCCCCTTCCTATAAAGTTGAGATGGAGCCATCAATTATTATTGCTCATGCTTACTCCTACTCCTCATGGTTACTGGCATGGAGTACCATCAACCGAGTGAATGCTGATATCCCATCAGGGGCAGAATGTTTCTACTTTCTTTTTGTGAAGCCTGTGAGTGGCTAGACTCACCATTGAAATGATTAATTATATATTTTCTCACCCACTGTCTTCACCTTGGTTGCTCTTGAAGAATTTAGGTAGCTCTGTTGATCAGTTTTATCCCTGATTCTAGTACTGGATTCTAGTAATTTTTTTTTTTACTTAATTATTTTTATTTTATGTGTATGAGTGTTTTGTCTGCTTGTATTTAAGTGCACCTCGTGTGCAATGCCCGGGGAGGCCAGAAGAGGGCATTGGATCCCCTGGAACTAGAAGTGCAGATGGTTGTTAGTTGCCACGTGGGTCCTGGCAACACAGGTCCTCTGCAAGAGCAGCCAGTGCTCTTAATTGGCAAGCCATTTCTCCAGCCCCAACACTCACTTTTCTTTCCTTTTTTTTTTAAAAAGATATTTTATTTGTTATTTTTATTTTATGTGTGTGAATATATTGCCTGCATGTAAGTGCACTGATGTCAAGCAATACCTATGGGTCAGAAGAGGGCATTGGATCCCCTGGAACTGGAGTTACAAATGGTTATTAGCCACCATGTGGGTGCTGGGAACCAAACCAGGGTCTTCTGAAAGAGCAGCCAGTCCTCTTAACCATTGAGCAATCTCTCGAGCCCCAACGCTTGATCTTCTTATCTTTAGTTTACCTTAGGGTAGAGTTAATATTAAGAATGGCAGGTGGAAGCCTGTGAATAGATGCTCAGCACATGCAGTCTTGTAGTTTTAATGTAAGTTAAACTCATGGACTTGAAATAAAGCATATGTGGCTCCAATTCCAGGTTCTGTCACTAACTCTGTGACCTTGGACAAGCTTTACAATCTGAGCTTCAGTTTCTTTTCTGTAAAATAGGAAGTTAATACCTACTAGCCTCAAGTATTTTTATAAGGACCAGAGGAGATAATGAACACATAGGGTGGCTTTATAATATATTGTCTGAGATATGCTTGAGAATGAAATAAGGTATTAACAAGATGGATCACCTGGACAAAAAGTATCAACTGAAACTCACAAGCAAGCAATACCCCACATGGAAGGACCTTTTACAGTGTGTCTCTTAGACATGTGATACACAAAGTGAGTTCTGAGGACCAATTGCATCAGCATGAATGTGAGCTTGTATGAAACATGGATTCCCAGGCCACACTTAAAACCCACTATTTTACTGCTTTATGCTAGTAGATCAGTAAATTATAAATAATAGAAATTTATTTGGCTCACAGTTGTACAAGCTCAAAGTCAACAAGCATGACACTGGAATCTGTTTAGGTCTTTTGAGCTGCTCCAAAACAGGGCAGAAGGGCATGAAGCACATATGGGAGAGGAGAGGAGACAAAGGGGAGCTTACCGTAGCAAAACCTCTCTCTTGATAACTAACCCATTCCCTCAATGATAACACTAATTCTTTCGTGAGGATAGAATTCTCATTATGTAATCGCCTCTCAGTACCATCATGATGATTAAATTTCAACATTAGTGTTGGAAGGGGCATTAAAGTCATAGTATCTCCTGAGTCAAATCCCAGGAGACAGGACCCAGGATTATTTTTGCTTACTTTCATTTCATTCTCTTAGAATGGACAAAGCTTGAAAACACCTACCTCAGGCCCTTTCTTTGCTGACTCAAATATAGAGCTCCCACCTAAACAGCCATGAAAAATTGCCGTGAGAAGAGTGGGTAGGCTTTGAAGGAAATTTACACATAAAAATAATAGGGGTTTATAAACTAGACAAAGTAGAGAGAATAGCTAACATTTTCAGAATTTTTTTTTATGGGATAGAAGAAATTAATTAAAACTTTCCTATGTTGCAAGTTGGTTGCATTTTCCAGAGGAAAGCCTGACTGAATATAACTTAGAGAGTTCTTGGTTATAAAATTTCATCCCCAGAAAAAGGAGAAATCATTTTTCACTCTCCTCATACACTGGCAGGGCAGCAGAAACAGTATGAGGGAGGGGTACTGCCTGCAATTGATTCTTAATGACAGGGCCTTAATTATCTTCAGGATGTGTTGATCTCATTTAAGAAAGATATTAAACCCTGAAAGGTGTGAAGAAAACCAGTCATCAAATCTATGCTTTTTGATTGCAGTGAAATTTAATCTTGAGTCTGAAGATTAAATGAGAAATTGCTTTAAAGCTCTTTAGTCTCTGGTGTATTGTGAAGTTAAAACAAAAAAAAAAGTCAAGTTGCCACCTGCTGTAATTTGCCCTAATTAGGAAGTCTCATGCCAGAGCTAGGGGAGGGTAGAAAGAGTGGGAGAATGGAGAGAATGGGGAGGGAGGGAAGGGTGGAAGAAGGCAGAGGAATGGGGAAAAAATAAGAATATCTTTTTTCTTAAGTGCCCTAAATACTGGCAGAGGCAGAACTTTAGAAACAATGTCCCTAACAGATCAGTAAATTCAGTAAATTTGACCCTGACCCTGGTCAGCATAGCAGAAGCTAGTGGTCTCACTAAATTGATCGAACTTTGGCAAATCTATCTCATGGAAAATAGTGTTACATTCTTTCAGTAGAAGCTGGGAAATGCAGGTGTTCAGAGATCCTGGAGGGAATTAGTGACTCCAGAGATCACCTTCTATTAACCTGCTTGTTTACCTTGATGGAAGTGAAGCCACTTGAGGTTGGGTGACCTACGGTAGGACCAGGTTTACCACAGCATACATAGTGCCCAACTTTGGGCATCCTGAGGCACTCATGCCTTTGTTTTTGGCACACTCATGTCTTTTTCTCTCTTAGAAATGGAGACAATAATGTGGTGTGACAGAACTCAGAAGAACCCAGTCCTTGTCCCAAGCCTGCTACTACTTTGGGGACCTTGGGTACGATACACATCAGATGGCATTAAACTAAGCAGGTTTTGCTGTCCTCCCCCTCCAATTCTCAGTTGCCATAAATAAAATAATACTACCCTCCTCTTGTTGTTGCCACACAGGGCAACTAGTTCTCACCATTCACTTTAATCTAAAACTGAATCAGAGCTTGTGGTATATTTTCAGTAGTTTCTGCAGACCAGTAATTCTAGGTCTGGTTTGTAAGCAAAGTATTGGGGGAGGGGTGATGGAGAGCAAGGGAGAATTATTTTACTTTTAAAATCTTATTTGACAACTCTAATCAACTGATAGTATCTGAAAAGAGCCCTTAACAACTTAGATAAATTGTTATTATTTTTTACTAAGGTCTACCTGGACAGTGAAGGAACTGATTAGTGATATCTAACCAGACAGGGAAGGGAAGAAGAAACTGGAACTGCATAAGCTGGCTGTTTGCTTGCTCTTTTGTTGATTAGTGTCTCGTCTCTATTCAGAAGCCTGTTCATCGTGTTCTGAGCTCTGACTGTTCAGTAAAGAACCCGCCACCATCACAGAAGGGCCAGAGCCCTTTGCATGCCAGGCTATGGACTCCTTGTTATTTTCTTCCATCTGACTTCTGTACTGGGATGTTTGTTCTAATTTAACAAATAATGGATGTCCCATGAGATAAGTCAGACCTAGGAATGACAACTCAGTTCTTCCCCTATCACTTAATCAGGATACAGCAAGTTGTCCTGCGTATAGACCCAACATTTATTGCAGACCTCCATCTACTTTATCAAGAAAACCTCCCTGCCTGCTGCAGCTCATGCTTCTGCACACCATATTCATCTCTCATATCCACCCTCAATAGGAACACAGCTAGGAGGCCTTGGGAAGTGAAGGAGAAGCTATTCTCCTACCCCGAAGCTGTGCCACTATTCCTGTTCTTTAATGCCTCACACCAGGCAGTCTGTCTTAAATTGTTGGCTTAGAAAGTTCAAGAGCCTTTCCTAGAAAGGCTAAATTTCTATCTAGCTAAAATTTCAGCTCTCTTCTGTCATCTTGCCTCTTGGGTTATTAGGAAGTTTAGGGTGGGGAACAAAAATTTCTGAGTGAACATTTCTAGCAAACTAATCCATTGTTCAAAGCCCTCTGTGCTACTTCTTTTCTTGTCAGATCAACAAAGGAAGATGTTTTTGGCTTCTTATACTTCACCATGAAAACAATTAGCCATCATTAAGATTGCAATCAACTTTAGCAAGGCCTTTCTCCTGGACACTTGAGGACTTTGATGACATGTTATAAATATAGAGCTCTCTAAGTCCTGGTAGACCAGAGTGGTGATATGAGCCCAATCAAAAATAATTCAGATACAATCTTTTGGAAATAGTGACTTGCCTCAAACCCTCTGATCTTCTTCCAGACCCTAGAGCATGAAGGCCGTTACTACGAATGTGATGTCCTTCCTTTCATGGAAATTGGATCAGTGGCTCATAAGTATTACCTTCTAAATATCCGTCTGCCTGTGAACGAGAAGAAAAAAATTAATGTTGGGATTGGGGAGATCAAGGATATTCGATTGGTGGTAAGTGAATGTAACTGAACCAACAGACTGTGATCCTGGAAGCAGTGGCCCAAACTACAGTGGTCATGTTTGGTTGAAGGAAGCTCTATCTTCATCCTGCCATCTCTATGTTAGAATTGCCTCAGTTGGCTCATCTAAAAGTTAGGAATAATAACATTATCATGATGGCCAAGACTATAAATTAAAATGAGATTATAGAAATTGAAAACAATTAATTATTGTACTTAAGATTTTAAGTGGTCTTAGGACAACATAAGATCACTATACTTTTTGTAAATCGTAATAAAATCATAATTGCATAATGAACAAAATGAAAGTAAAAGATTAGCATTTCACCTTGCAAAGTACAAATGTCAATGGGAACAGTGATATCTCAGGTTCTTTCCATTTTATTTGCTTAATTGGAGGGGGGAGTAGAACATGGAGTAAGGCCATTTAAAAATTTTTTTATTATTTTTACTTTACATGTATGAATGTATTGCCTGCATGTATATAAGTGCACCCATGTCATGCAGCGCCTGACAGAAGAGAGCATCGGATCCCCTGGAACTGGAGTTAGAGATGGTTGTTAGCCACAATGTGGGTATTGGGAATTGAACCTGGGTCCTCTGCTTTTAACTGCTGAGCAATCTCTACAGCCCCAGAAGGCCATTTTTTTAAAAATCTAAAAACATTCACATAGGAAATACATATATGTAATTAGAAAGTAGGGAATGGGGCCATATCTTAGTCAGTAAAGAACTGAGCAAGCGTGAGGGCCTAAATTTGATCCCTATTGTGATCCCAGTACTGGGGAAGTGGAGACAGGTGGATCCCCAGTGACCTCCAAGTCCTAATGAGAGACACCCATCTCAAAAACAGGATGAATAGCTTGGCATGGTGGTATTTGCTTTTAGTCCCAGTACTCAGACAAAAAAAAAAAAAAAAAAAAAAACAAAAAAAAGGGCCCCTGGGGAAAAAACCGGGGGCGTAAGTCACATGGTTTTACTGAATTAAGGAAAATAAAGATCACAGCTTCAGATTTCTGGTCTAATTTGTTCTTCAAATTACTGTTAATCTTATTTACTGAATTTATCTCTATATATTGGCATACAAATGAAATTCAAATGTTATGGTAGAAACAGGTAACATCACCTGATCACTCTCCTCTGCAGTAACAAACAATCTCACTCATTTAGATGGCTATTCCACTGTCCTCAGGCCCACCTCCAAGCTCTGATGACTCGGGGAACTCTAGATGCCTGGGGTTTCTGTACCTTGCCCAATCCCCAATTTATGAGCTCCAGAACCCCTTGGGAAGCTGAGTGTGGTGGTATATGCATATATTCCCGGTATCTGGGGAGTAGAAGCAGAAGGATCAGGAGTTGAAGGTCATCTTTGGCCTCATGGAGGCAAGGCCAGCTTAAAAAAAAAAAAAAAAAAAAAAAAAAAAAAAAAACAAGAAAAATGGCTCCTGAGGAAAACACTCGGAGCTGCTCTATTATGAACACTCCCACATACATGTGCATGTGCACCCACATACATATACACATGTGCACAAGCACCCCCCCATGAGTACACACAAAAAAAGAAAATTAGAGAATAAATTTTAAAGTATAAGACACAGAAAAGTGTAACAACTATCTGTAATATACCAACATCTAGAGAAATAACACTACTGATGTTTTCAAATACTCTTTACGGCTACTTCTACACACACAACACACACACACACACACACACACACACACACACACATCCTTTCCATATAAAAAGTCAGATCATACTGAAATGACTTGTGCTTATTGGTTTTTTTTTTTCTCATTTAATGTTATGTTGCGAACATAATAAAAATGTACTTTCTAATATTGTGGTCCATTGTATAGGTTTATCAATACCAACTGACTGGGCATATGGGATATCGCCAATATTTGAATAAAAACCTTAAAGAAAAAAATTTGATTATATTCTTAATCAGTCCCTTAGCATAGCCATTTTTATTCTTTTCAATATTTATATATTTTTATGATATTTGAAAAGGTGTCAGGGTATATGAGGGTAGTACATCCTATGACTATGAACACTTTTGGGTAGACAAACTGTTTACTTAGTTTGTTTCCAGAATGTGTTTAGTAGTAAAAACTAATGCTAATATACATTTAACTTCAAAATTATGATTGATTTCTGTCCAGGGAATTCATCAAAATGGAGGCTTCACTAAGGTGTGGTTCGCTATGAAGACCTTCCTCACGCCCAGCATCTTCATCATTATGGTGTGGTATTGGAGGAGGATTACCATGATGTCCCGACCCCCAGTGCTTCTGGAAAAGTAAGAACTGATTCAGAGCACTCTTAGGAAATACTGACTTCTCAAAAACTGTCATGCTCCTGTTTTGCTTGATTCAGTTCAAGCAGCCAGTGGTGACTTTAGCTGGTAATTGATCGGGAGTCATCCTGGATTATTTTTCTTTCAGATTTCACATGAAAATTTTTCCTGAATCTTTGGCATTATCCCTCTCCTACACCACTGTCTTTGCTGTTTGTCCCCATGGTCAGAACCAGATTCTTCTGTTAATGGATGAACTGCCCTGCTCCTAACTGAGCTCAAACCCTCTCACCAACAGGGCGATGTTCATGTAGAGCTACAGCACCTTTCCTTCTCACATCAATACCTTCTCCCTTCTGCTGGCTTATTTCTATTAGCATTGTGTATACATATGCTGTACCATGAGAAAATTCTCACTTTTTCCATTTCCTTAAAGTGAAATCACACATTTTTCTCCTTTTATAAGAATCCTCAAAAATCTTGTCCATGTATGTCCTCCAGTTATCACTTGATCCTATTTCAGTAGTGATTCATCCCCACTGTTCCACTGAATCTGCCCTTCACAAGATCACCAATGACCTCCACAGTCCAAATCCAACGTTTAGATGTTGGTCTTTACCTTCCTTGATCCATCAATGGCATTTGACATAGCTAATCATGCCCTTTCCTTCATACAACCTCTTTCACTTTTCTCCTTTGCTGGCCAAAGCCTAGTTCTTACTCCTGTTTCTTTATCTTTCCAGTCTCTTACACTGTGTATCCAGAGCACAATCTTTGGACTTTCTTTCTTTATTAGTTTGCTTATTCCCAGGTGGTCTCTGGGAATTAAAAATTATGTACTATGTGATGACTCCTAATTTAGCTTCAGCCTCTCCTGTTTATCCTAGCTGTTTATTTAACACCTTTACTTGCATACTTGACTTCCTCTGGCTGCCAGCTGGTTCTCTCCTAGGCCTCCCCATATTAGGGAAAGGAAACTCCTCCCTTTTCCTTGCTGAACTAGAAAGGTGCAATCCACCCTGTATCCCACTGTTCACACCTCTGTCCAACCCCCAGGAAATCTTACCATCTCCACTGCTACTGCTGAAATCTGCCCACCCGTATCACTGCCCAGCTGTGTTATTGGAAGTAGCCTCCCAGCTGCTCCCCTTGCTTCTACTATTCTCACTACATACAGTCTGTTCATCAGAAGCTTCTGTGCTTCCTTTAAGTATCAATCAGATCATGCCACACCTCACTGAAAGCTCTCCACAGGCTATCTCCTTTGCCTTGGCCTATTAACTCCCTTGGAATTTATCTCTTATTCTCTACAGTACCTGTTTTGATAATCAAATATTTTTTAAATATTTTATTATTCTTATTTTATGTGTATGCGTGTATTGCCTGCATATAGGTAACTGCACCCGTGCCGTGCAATGCCCACAGAGGACAGAAGAGGCTGTCAGCTCCCCTGGAACTGGAGTTATGTACAGTTGTTAGCTGCCATGTGGGTGCTGGGACTTGAACCCAGGTCTTCTGCAAGAACAGTCAGCGTTCTTAAGCGCCGAGCCATCTCTCCAGGCCAAAAATCAAATATTTTGTGTGCTAGGCTTTCACTCCAGGGCCTTTGAACACTCTTGATCTGAAATACTGATTCCCAGGTTATCTTAGTAGCTCAGGTATTCCTTTCTAAAGGAATGTGCTCTGATGTTTCTCATTGCAGTGGGTTTTTCTATTCCTATTTTCACCTTATGTAAGATCACTCTCCATTCTCTTACTCATTTTATCTTTCTGTATAATGTTAAAGTTAATAACTACTTATTGTGTGAATGAATGATGACATTCCACTCTTTATTGGATTCCTAGTCTCTTTAAGATAAATTTAAAAGTCTCTGCTGAGATATTTCTTCCTAAGGTCATCCCTTTTTATTTCTCTGCTCCCATGTCCTTTTAGGACTCATTACATGCAGATCTACAAATACTTCTAGCTCTTCCAGGCCTCTCCACTTCCACTTAAGCTCTGCCCTTTGCCTCTTTCCTTTATCCTTTATCCTCAACTCCTTGCTGGCTTAGTTTCTGTCTCAGTGTAAGAGATAAATTCTGGCATCAGTGTCTGCTTCTAAACTGTGCTAATATTGCTTAGCCCCCCTCTTTCAATGCCGCTTTATCTGACTTTCCTACTAGATGCATCTCTCTGATTGAGAACATTGGTCCTTCTCATGTAGGTGTCTATAACCCTAATGCTATTCCTAGTACATTGTCTGTGCCTTGTGAGCACATGTGTCTTGTGGGTATGAAAAAGATATAAATAAATCAGAATAATATTTTTAAATTATTTAGTTATTATTTTATGTGTATGAGTGTTTTGCATGTATGTAAGTGCATCTGTGCCATGCAGTACTCAGGGAGATCAAAAGAAGGTGTTGAATCCTCTGGAATTGGAGTTACAGACAGTTGTTAGCTACCATGTAGGTGCTAGGAACTGAACCCGGGTCCTCTGCAGGAGCAGCCACTGCTCTTAACCACTGAGCCATCTCTCTAGCCCCCATCAGAATGATATTTTAATGGAGGAGCAGTTAATAGTATGACAGAGGAAAAGCAAAACAAAAACTAAACAAGCAGCCAATAGAATTTGTGAGTGTTTGGGGTAATTTTTTTCGTCTTTTTGAGACAAGATATCCCTGTAGCCCCAGCTAGCCTGGAACTCACTATGTAGACCAGGCTGGCCTCAAACTCATAGAGATCCACCTGCCTCTGCCTTCTAAGTACTGGGACTAAAGGTGTGCACCACCACACCCTGCTGCCCTTGGAGTAATTTATTATGGAAACAAATATGCTTATATAATTTATAGTTACTGAAGATACCACAGTAATTATGAGTATTCTTTTTTAAAATATTTTATTATTTTTATCTTATGTGTATGCGTATATCGCCTACATGTAGGTAAGTGCACCCATGTTGTGCAATGCCCACGGAGGACAGAAGAGGCTGTTGGATCCCCTGGAACTGGAGTTATGGACAGTTGTTAGCTGCTATGTGGGTGCTGGGATTCGAACCCGGGTCTTCTGCAAGAACAGTCAGTGTTCTTAACTGCTGAGCCATCTCTCCAGCCCCAATGAGTATTCTTAATGACTGGGTCAGTGATGTCTTAAAGAGGTAAGGAAGTACAATTAAACTCAAGCAGATTTGCTTAAGAAGGCCATGGAGCAAATCCTGGTAGACAGTTCTTAATCTGAGATTGGACCAAATTAAAGTGTGAATCTCTCAGGGGGCTACATTCAGTTAGACAAGAGTTAGGGTTGTACTGCTTCATTCTCCAATGGGTCAAGTAGGATGTTTTGAATCCCAGGGTGGAAACTTACCATGAGTGCTAAGAGGCTTTGGTCTGAATAAGTAACATCTCAGTTCTCAAAATTAGATTTAAATTTTGGAAATATGCCTCCCAAATGAATAATCTGGATCTTCTGGGTATTTTTTCAACTCAGAGTCATCTTTGCCCTTGGGATTTCTATGACCTTTATCAATATCCCCGTGGAATGGTTTTCCATTGGGTTTGACTGGACCTGGATGCTATTGTTTGGGGATATCCGACAAGGCATCTTCTATGCAATGCTTCTTTCCTTCTGGATCATCTTCTGTGGCGAGCATATGATGGTAAGAGCCCCTGGGGGAAGAACAGCTGTCTGTCTATACCATAGTTCCTTTGAGCATGATGCTGCACTGATGCCTGCCCATTTCTGATGGTGGAGAGGCAAAAGAAACAAGGGTCAAGTTCTGTCATTGCAAGTTCAGAGTCCTGCTTTACTAGTAACTTGCTAAGTGGTTTGAGGCAAGTTTCCTAATCTCAGGGCTCTTGTCTTAGGGTGGAAAAGCCTAGGAATTTTTGTTTTATTTTAGAGCACAATGAGATAATATAAAAGAAGACAAACATACAAAATCTAATGGTTATTTTTATTTATTGTCCTTTGACTTCAGTTCTGCTTATTCTGGCCTTAGGAACAGGCCAGTCACCATGGAATGTGAGTTTTGTGCTTTCTAGCTAGCAGTTTGTCCAAGTGACCTAGTGACTCCTGCTCCCTGAAAATACAGATCTCTTTCCATGGCATCAAATTCTATTCAAGAGAGATTGAGGTACCATAATAAAAATAAAAATACCATCTTTACATTGTGGCTAAGATGCAGCTATGTCAGCAGGAACTTTGTCTTCATGTTAACCTTCAGAGAAGAAGGAACTTTAAATTTTTATTTATTTTTATTTGTTAAAATTACATTTATTTTTTTATTTATGTGAAGAAGGGCATACATGCTTTGATATCCATGTGGAAGTCAAAAGACAGCCTTCGGGAATGGGTTCTCTCCTTCCATTGTGTGGGCCCCAGGGAAGTCAGGTTGAAGTCAGGTTGTAAGGCTTAGCAGAAAGCATGTTTGTTCACTGAACCATCTTGCCCAGCTCAGAGACTGTTTTAAAATTCCATTAGGATTTGATCATAAAAATCAAACTTCTGAAGCCTGCTCCTCACCCAGAAGGGCAATATAAGAAGGAGATTTTGCCCATAGCCAAACTCTTCATGAGGGGGTCCTGCAGTACAAAGGCTCCTCCAGCAGAGATGCTCTGGGAATGAGCTATGGACCCCAACTAGGGGACTGTCCAGAATAAGCTGGTTATGGGCCTTGCCTGCCTAGAAACTGAGATATACCTTATATAGTCCCCCATTTTCTTTCTCGGCCCCTCAAGAGGATCATTCATGCTGGCCTGGTAGCAAATGAATGAGACAAAGAGCAGGAGGTTCCTGAGTTCTTGGTCAGTTTGGAATATATCTTAGGACACTCTGGGAAACAGTGGGTATGGGAATTATTCCTTGTCATGATGAAGATAAGGAAATAAACTTGACATAATAAAGTATTTTAATGTCTTTATTCCCTGGGGTCATTTTACATTTTAAACAAAGATTGTTATTTATTCAATAATTTAATTATTTTGTCAGCCAAAAAGATTACACTTGCTTGGGGTCCAAGACCTTTCCCTGTTTTCCTACAGCGACCCCCTCATTCTTATTACTGTCACAGCCCCAAGTGGATAGATTTTGTGATGACTGTTCTGTTCATTTGCCAGCCTCTCCCAGTAGACATGAGCGTAAGAATTTTGTTTCCTCCCCTCTGAGGTCTAGCTAAGTGCACGGTGCACAGCAAGTAGTAGTAGCTGGGTCACCATGGAATAGCTTTGCTTTCTTCTGTCTTTACCTCCTTCTTCAATTTTGTTTTCCTCAGGATCAACACGAGCGAAATCACATTGCAGGGTATTGGAAACAAGTTGGACCAATTGCTGTTGGCGCTTTCTGCCTTTTCATATTTGACATGTGTGAGAGGTGAGTAGGTACCCAAGGGACTCCAAGATGAAATGTGCATTACTGTGTCTATGTCCATCTCTCTAGGAGGAGTTTTAAATGGAGAATGGTGGTTGGGGGCCTTTGGGATGAAATATTGGACAGGGTCATGTTCTCAGATAAAGTCTGAGACTAAGTCAAAAGCTTGGTCCTTTATAGTTGCAGAGTGCTTGGACTGATCATATTCTAAAGCTCTGCTTTCCCTTGGTCTCTCTTTGAAGTTTCTTTTCTAAATATAGCGCCCTTCCACACTGCATCCCTAGTTGTAATGCTAAGTAAAGTTCTGTACTGCCTTTGTGTTTTGCCTAGCCTCTCCATCTTTGTTTGTTTTTGTTTTTACAGAGGAGTACAACTTACAAATCCCTTCTACAGTATCTGGACTACAGATGTTGGAACAGAACTGGCTGTATCCTTCCTCAATAGGTGCAGGGTTTCATTTTTCCCCCCAAAGCTGCTTGGTACCCAAGACCATTTCCATGGCTCAGCTGATGATCTCTGTAAGAGCTTAGACAGAGATTTGATCCTTAGACCAATGACAATAGCACAATCAAGGCAAATAATGAGAAGGATTACTACTTGCTTTCAGGGCCCTTTGCGAACAGTACATGTGGGGAGCTTGCAGCCTGTCCCTGAAGCAGAAGGATCAGAGTCAGATCAAAGGCTCTGCTATTAACTACTGCCTAAATCATCTGTTTTGCTGTTTTGTTGCCTACTGAAGTTCAGTAGCTTCTTCTGGAGCCATAGCGGCCCCTTCTGGGGTCTCTGGGAGAGCTGAGCTGAGGTCACCTGCCTGTGAAGCCCTGACAGTGGCTTCACTGGACCACCACCCTTAATTTCTGAGGCCCAGTACAAATGAAGCTAAGGTGATTAGTTTCAGAGCAATGCCAAGACTTCTGGTTGGTTCATATAAGCTCCATCTATATCATCTTGGTGAAGAAAAGTAACAGTCTTAGCTTATCCCTTTAAGGATGCTGAATTTAAAATCTGATCTCTACCTGGGCGTAGTGGCTTATACCTTTAATCCCAGCACTTGGGAGGCAGAGGCAAACAGATCTCTGTAATATCGAGGGCAGCCAGGTCTATATAGTGAGTTTCAGGCAAGCTGAGGCTACAGAGAGACCTTGCCTCAAAAACAAAAACAAATAAAAAATAAATAAAATCTGATCTCCTGAATAGTATATGTCCTGCTCTAAGGGAAAAAGCCAGTCTTCTGGAGTAAAGGGGCAGCCTGGGGTCATACTCTTCCTTAACATCTAAGGCCTTAACATGTACCCCTGAATATGATTTGTCTAGTCATAGTGTTTATATCAATTTCTTAGCATCACAGAATTTTGTGACCACACTAAATCAGTAGTGTTATCACTTTTAAGATGAAAGAATTAAGCTGAAAGGCTGAGCTATTCTCTTCTTCCATGTTCCACCCCATATAATGTTATCTGCACAACAAGTGCAACATTTACAGTGTTATTTTGTAAGAAATTCTAGTTCAACCCTTTAATTTACAGACAGGATGGAGGTCAAAGGGAACAAATACAGTTTCAGGTCCTGTAGCAAATACCACATTCCCTTCTTTCCAGGGTACCATTTGTCATAGAAAAGAAGGAGAAACTGTAGTCAATATACTACTTAATGAAAGGTACATGCTGAGTTTACACTTATTAAAATGATGGAAAAATAAAGGCAATTTGGGATAGAGTTGTTACAACAGAAAGGAACTATAGTCTGGTCATCTCCTGTTCATGACATCCATGTCTTGCTCATTCTCAATCTGGGCTCTAATGGAAGGTTTCAGAACCTCCCCAATGAATCTCTAAAAGTTTATTGCCTACACCCACAGCTCCTGCCTTAGCTACTGCTTTATACCATGTGTCCTTCTGCTCTTTGCTGGGGACCCTGAAAGCGGCTGATATCCTACTCTGTTTATCCCCTCCCAGGACATCTCAGTCTTGTTCTTAGAAAAGTCTAAGCACAGCACAGTGGTTTTCAAACATGCCCACACTTGTTTCCTCATCCTGGAAAGTCTGATTTGGTATGTGTTATTGAAACTCTTCCAGCACTTCTAAAGCAGCTTTTCATTAGTAACTAGTGTTCACTGTACAGTTTCTGAACATATGACACATTTGAATCTCCTGAAAACATGTTTTGAAAGGAAGATTCTGATCCATTAGGTCTTACGATGGACCCTGACTGCATTTATAAAAGTAAGGTTAGTCTTTCTTTCTCCTTGACTTAGAAAGCAATTTGAATATACTCTTCTGTGAAATTGTTTTCAGGAAACACCCATCAGTGGTATGAGAATGCCAGGTTTTAATGTTAATGCCCTCCTAAAACTTCCTGGACACTTGGAGACAAAGCAAGTGTCGCCAACACAACTGGGAGGAGTGCTATCGCCCCCTAGCTCTTATCCTTGGTGACTTTGTTGTTTCCTTCACTGGATACTCTCAGATGGCTTTCATCATTGTGGCTGGTATATGCCTCTGCCTCTATTTCCTGTTTCTGTGCTTCATGGTATTTCAGGTGTTTCGAAACATCAGTGGGAAGCAGTCTAGCCTGCCAGCCATGAGCAAAGTCCGGAGGCTGCACTATGAGGTAAACTCTCTTGACTCATTCTAGAGCTGACACTAGTGCCCTCCAGCTGGGTGTGTAAATTCAGGGCTCTAGAGGTTGAAAGCTTTATCTTCAAATACTCATTAAGCAACCTGAGAGATGGTTCAGCTAATAAAAGTCTTTGCCATGCCAGCCTAACAACCTGACTTTGATCTCCAGAGGCCACAATGGAAGAACAAACTTCTGAAAGTTGTTCTCTAACCTCCACACATGCTCTGCGGTGCACACATACACACACAAACACATACATAAAACTTAAAAATACGTATTAAGAACTTCCTTCCCATGTAAGGTCTTTGGGCAAAGGAAGAGGCATCTAAACAGCTATCTATATCTTGGGGTTTTTTTAAGTATAAATGTGGTCTAACCACAGTAAAATGGAAACTTGTCCAGCAGGTTATTAAAAAACAACTTTGTGTGGAACGCAGGTGCATCTTGGATAGGAGACTGAACTTGGGGTATGGTTTTCCCCCAACCCTTGTGATGTTTCAGCCTAGGTGATCTACTTCCTAAATTCTTTTTAAAAATTAATTAACGGGACTAGAGAGAGATGGCTCAGCAGTTAAGAGCACTGGCTGCTCTTCCAGAGGACCCCGGGTTCGAGTCCCAGCACCTATATTATCGTTAACAACTGTTACTCCAGTTCCAGAGGATCTGACCCCCTCTTCTGGCCTCTGTGGGCTTTGCACAACTTGAGTGCACTTACATGCATGCAAGCAAAACACTCATGCACATAAAATAAAAATAAATTTAAAAAGTTAAACAATTACTGAAGTAATTATTGTATATCTGTGTCTGATATGAGTGTGCATGTCACAGTATACGCTGCAGAGTTAGTTCTCTCCTTCTACCTTTGCATAGGTTTAGGAGATCAAACTCAGGTCACAGGACTTATGTGGCAGACACTTTTACCCTCAGAGCCACCTTGTTTTCAGGCTCTTAATAGTCCATACTCCCTAAAATAGTCAGCAGGTGCTCAGATTAAGCCCAGTAATCGGTTTATAGATTATATTCCTCATTCAAGAGAAGCACCAAGCATCCTCCAATCTCTAATACATGTGATAGATTCTTGATTGGGCTCATGTTTAAGTGGCTGTACTTGGAGACATGCATCTAATTGTCTATGAAAAAGAGAAATTACAGAATCACGGGGTTTTGTACAGCCAATCGGTACAGAAAAGCCCCTGCTGCATAAGCATCTCTCCTTAAATCCTGATTTTAGGAAAGCAAGGGTATTTTCTCAGGCTTGTCTGTTTCCAGAGCTGGAGTGACAACAGGAAAATTTGAGAGCTGCTTCATGTTGATTAGTATGCATATTTCTTTTTGTTCACTGGAGCAGAATTTTATTACAGCTGTCGAATACTTCCTTTTAGAAACTTTGAACCCTTGTGGAGAATCATAGCCAGCTTAGTGGGGAGATCGGCATCCTTACTATGTGTTGTAAATGTAATTTCCAAGACTCTAGCATCACTGTTTCATGCGAGATAAGAACACAGGAAATATTTTGCCCAAGAAATTCCTCAGCCACATTTACCTCTGCAGGAGAGCTGTTAATATGTGAAATTATTTTACTGTCATTCTTAGATATTTAGTTTTTCAGATTTCTTTTTCTATCTATCATCTATCTATCATCTATCTATCTGTCTATATGGGATTGGTAAAACTTTAAATCATTCTTCCTGTCTTTCCTAATAGGGGCTGATTTTCAGGTTCAAGTTCCTCATGCTTATTACCTTGGCCTGTGCTGCCATGACTGTTATCTTCTTCATCGTTAGTCAGGTGAGTAGATCCTGAGCCTTCCCAGGAGACAATCTCTGGAGAGATCCCTGTGCGTTGCACAGAAGGCTCTGTAGAGATGGTGAGGACAAAAGCAGAAAGGCGTATTCTGCTTAGCTGACTGAACCTGTTTTCTTTAGACCACTCCAGTATGGGGCTTTTGACAGACTGCCTACATAGTCGGACTTTCCCCTTCTAGTTTAAACTTGTAGAAGGTTGTTAAATAAATTAAAAGTCTGTAGCCAAATTGAAGGAACATTACATTCAAGAGAGTAAATGTTTTAAGCCCTGTAGCATAACACTGCCAAGCAAGTAGTAATTTGGTTGGATCCTTATCTATCATTAAGAAAGAGCCTTTGACAGTCTCTTACCCATCCTCTGTGGTAATTACATTGCCACCCAAACATGAACATGATTCAAAAATCCCATTGGATAATCACAATAATGTAAAAATATTGATAATTTGCTTCGGAAAGTGAAAAATCTAATGTATTATGCACCTATCAGTCATTTGGGCTTTACAAAGCTCTTCCAAAATAAGTAAGGTGGGAACTGTTAGCCTTGTTTGCCAAAATATGAATTCTCATGGCTTCTGAGATGTTTTCATGAATTCTGTTTCCCAGCATGGTAGAAATGCGCTGGTTTATTTAACATTTCTTGAGATTTAATCATTCTTACTGCACAATAGTACTGCCTATAGAAGGACCACAAGAAACGATATGCAAAGTACTTAGAAGAGTCCGGGGCATGTTGTAAACATGAATAGCTACATTCATACCTTACCAAAATGCATACAAAGTTGGGGACTAGAACTTAGTTCTTCTGATTCTTTAATGAATGTCCTATCATCCCTATGTTTGGTAGTATAGAGCATTCTGATACGGCACGTACAGCCTCTTCTTCCCTTCTGCTAGCCAGTTTTCTTCTAGTACATGTATATTGTATGAACTCTTTTATAAAGGAGTGAATCCATTGAAGCTATGGGTCTCTTCTCAGAATGCTTCTAAAAAGTAAAATAAAATTTTAGATTTCAAAGAGAATCATATATATTTTAGGCTTATTACCAAACATCTATCTTCAACAACTAACTGGTACAAAAAATGATTTCACAGGTAATGCTGATATCATAAGAATTTATTTTACATTCATAACTAAGGAGACATCACCTTTCAGTTAGAAACTAGTGAAAATAAAGATATATTCTTCTGTTCAGTTCATGTACCCCCTTTAATTCCATCTAAAGGAACCCCCAAGTTCTGAGCTTCTAATGCCCTGTTGGCTGTGCTCACTGGGAAGTGTTGGGTGGCTGGCTCTGTTCAAGGGTAAGTGCATGTACAGATAAATAAAACAATACACATGGATGTCTTTGTACAATATTGTTTACCATATCTTCTTTGACTTGTAACAGAACTGTGGTTATATCAGACTGTTTATAAAACCTTGGGAAACTTCACTCTCTACTCCAAACGCAGTAAAGCTGTTTCCAATTCTGAATGCGTCTTTTGAAATATTTTTTAAAAGTGCATTTACTTATTTGTGTGTATGTGTGTGTGTGTGTGTGTGCGTGCACGTGTGTGTTGTGTTGTTGTGCATGCCATGGAACACATGTAGAAGTCAGAGGACAACCTGTGAGAGTCCACTTTCTCTTTCTAACATGTGGATCCTATAGATTGAATTCATCCTCTGGCTTGGCTGCAAGCACTTTTGTTAGCTGAGCCGTCGCCAGGGTCCCCAAAGGAGTCTCTAATTCAACCACTTAAGGCTCAAACACCCTTATTCAAACAAGGATGTTGGAGCCCTTTTTGCATTTGACTAATTTCCTCATGTGACCTATATGTTTTCTGATTCCTTCAGACCCTCAACAGTATGCTGTGTCCTTATAAACCTACACAATCTACCTGACTGAGAGAACAAGTAGCCTTCCTACATAAATGGAATCTCCAGTAAGAAGGGTCACACTCTCAGGGAGGTGAAAAGGAAGGGCATTTCCAGTTCCAAGGCCTGCCTCTGCCCTTTTAACAAAGCTGGAGTCCTTCCCACTCCTGCTCCTCAGTGGATTGGCTCTGCAGAGCTCCTTTTCACCTGAAGTCGAGGGAATGGGCTTCAAGGTGGCTGCCCTGTGCCAGAATTTAAACTTGTACATGTTTAATTAGTACAGCTTTATTTATTTATTATTTATTTATTTATTATTTATTTATTTATTTATTTATTTATTTGGACTTTTTGAGACAGGGTCTCCCTGTAGCCCCAGCTGGCCTGGATTTGCTATGGAGACCAGACTGGCCTCGAACTCACAGAGATCTACTTGCCTCTGCCTCCGGAGTGCTGGGATTAAAGGCGTGCACCACCACACCCGGCAATTAGTACACTTTTAAAGTGACAAAAAAAAACTGTCTTCTAGGGAGCAGAGTTTGTGACTTTTCTTTGGAAAAAAAAGATTAATTTTCCATTGCCCCAGTATTAGGCTTCAACTCATGGAAGGCTTTTTGTATCTGCTGTGTGATAGTTGGCCAGAAGTGGATTTCATGGGGGGGTGGGGGGGCTGTGGTAACAGCAAGGTCTTTGAATTCCATTAGTGCCTCACATTCTCCCTGCTGTTTTTTAAGGCTTATTTATAGATATCTAAGACATTTTCTGGCATAACTGTCCATGTCCCAGGTACTATATTAATGTCATCAGAGAATTTAGTTTCTAATATCATTTTGGAATGTCAGAGCAATGAGCTCACCCAAAAAAAGGCCTACTGGGTAACATTTTGAAAAGGACCCCAGCCTTAGGTAAAGGAATGTTTTAAAACCCCCATTATACTTGTTGGGAAAGCTTGCATTTAAACCCCATGAAATATATGTGGGGAATCTTGCCAGGATATTGAATCTCTGAGGCCAAGAACGAAAGGCTCACAGGAAGCTGTGGAATGTGGTGACCTTGAGGCTTTGTAGCTGCAACTGAGACTCAGTCTTTAATGCCTGCTATTTTAATGGCTTCAGTCATAGCAACCAAGAGATGCAGCACCACAGTCTTTCAGCCCCTTCCCTTCTAGAGAGAGGAATTTAATTTAGAGGTGGTGCCAGCAAGGAACTGAAGTGCAGTACAGGAGCGAAGGTTACTGACCTTCACTAAGGGGCACCCCACCCCCACCCAGGGGCCAGATATTCAGGTCAAGCCACATGTAGCTTATCCCCCAGTTCTCTCTCTCTCTCTCTCTCTCTCTCTCTCTCTCTCTCTCTTCCTCCCTCCCTCCCTCTCCCCCTCCCTCCGAGAGATCATTTCATTCTGTGACTTAAATGAAATGTAAGGAAATGTTTCCAGTAAGAGACCCTGTGTTGGGGGTTTGGAAATCTTATTGTTAAGTGGAATGCTGGTTGTCAAGACTACTGGGTGTAAAGAGATTTGACCTCACTTGGCTGCAGGGGTATAACTGGGTGGTCCCAAACAAAAGTAATTTGTTGAAATGTAAAATCAGAAAAACAGGAGCTTTTAGAAATAAAGCTTTGCAGTGGGTGAGCTTGGTTTTTGTTTTTGTTTTGGTGGGGGTGGTATTGGGAATATTTGATTTTTGTCTCTGAAAATTAAAAGAAGAAATGGCTACCTCTCTGACTTAGCATTATTAGATTTTGGATCTGCAAAACCTGTTTTGTTGTGGCTGCTCATTGTGGTTCATGTTAGTGGGAAGCAGTGTAGAGCTCAGAATGTCTTAAGCATGAACGATTGAGAAAACAGAGGGGAAAATACAATCCAGTCTCCAAATTGGGGGTGGGGGTGTTATAATACCTATATAATTAATTTGTGCATTTCAGTTCCTTGCCCAAAGCAGGAAATAGCATTTAAAGATAAACATTCAGTCCTTGAGTATATTTCAGCAGCTGTATTCAAAACAATGTGCAAGTCCCAGAGCAAACAGAAGAAGAGACCCTAAATCTGCTGTTTTCTCAGACAGGCTCAGCTCCTGCATGTTCCTTGTCAGCTGAGTATCTCATTCACGTTGTTTGTTCTTCTGTAAAGTTATGTTTTGTGTGTGTGTGTGTGTGTGTGTGTGTGTGTGTGTGTCTAATTTACTGCATCCATTTAGTGGTGCTCATGTGTACCTGCATTTATGGCTGCCCAACTGGGATTAAATAACCTCTTAGGGAGCTAGTCCTAGAGTGAGCAATGAGCAATACAATGACCTTTTATAATAGTTGCCTCATCTGCTGCCTTCGGAGGCCATCCTTGTGATGTTTTTGTGTTTCACAGTCACTAAGAACACCTTTTTTTTGGAGTCAGACCCATGACCATGACTGTCTAACTGAGCAACATTGGGCAGGTTCCTATACCTTTGCTTACCATGATTTACCTGTGTATTGAATAGAAATATTACCTGCCTATCTCACACTGTTAAGGTTAAATAATATATTTCCTATGAAATGCTTAGCATAGTGCTAGAATATCATGAGCATTGAATGACTGTTACATTGGCTTCCGTTGCTACTATTACAGAAAAATCTTGAACTCACTAATATCTGGGTTGATCACTTATTTTAAATGATAAAGAAATCTGACAGGGAACAAAATTTAAATAAATACTTATCCTCTCATTTTAAAGTTGAGTTATTGTTTATTTACCACAGTATTTACTTTTCAGTCAGATTCTCTCTCCTTCCTTTTTCCTTCCTTTCTCCTCTCTCATTTTCTACCTCCTTCCCTTTTCCAATCCCTCTTTTTTCCTAATCATCCAATAGTACTGTCTCTGGTGGGGTCCACTACAACTGCTGGCACAGAATCTCTACCTCCCAGGAACACATCTGATGGTTTCCCCAATTCATTACATACTGGTACTTCCCACAAACACTCCCCCTTACCAGCTAATGGTTACTGCCCTCTCTGGGGCTTCTCTCATCTGGGTAACATCAGCTTCTTCTACAGAAAAGTTGTTTTGCTCTCTGAGAATCTTCCTTCAAAGCCCAGAATTATCATCACCTGCTGATAGTATCCCCTACTGAAAGGCCTCATCTCTCACCCCCTGAATACTTGTCAAGGCTGTTCTCTCCTACCCACAAACCTAGCAGAACCCAACCTTCAGAGTCCAAGTAGCATCTTGGAATTCAGTAGTGTCACCACTCAGTGTCCGTTTCTAGTATCTAAGTAAACACCTAATACTAAAGGTTCATCCCAACTAACACCTTGGGGACTATGGCATGACCTGTTTTCACCTTGCCTCAGTTGCCAAACTTGGTAGTCTTCATCACTGCAAGCAGAAACTTCATCCACTAAAACACCTCTTCAGACAATAGTGTACTGATCTTCTCTTTACCCTGCTGGCTTCCTGCCTCAGCAGAATGTTTCTTAAGAGTGGTTGATTCTAGCCCCTCCTTCTAGTTCCTTATATTTGCAATGGCATTCTCTTAATATCCCTATATTTTTGCCCTTTATTCATTCAACAGTCATCTGTTGCATATAATTGAGTACCAGACCTTCAGACTGGTATTTCCTTAGGTGGATCAGTCATGCCAATCCTAGCAAGAATAAATTCATCAAAATGATCAGTTCTCAGTTTTCCTCTGCCTGACAACAGAGTATAGCCTCTAACATGTCCTTCCTTTAGCTGAAGGCCCACTGCCCTAACAAAGGCAAAAAACTGCCATGTTCTGCCTTACTTATAGCTTGTTGAGCCTCTCCTGCTTAACTGGACCAGAGTAGCAGAAGCACAGATTTCTAGGACTCTCTTAAAGCTTCTTTTCCTCTTTCATCATATGTATTTAACATTAGACTATGCTCACACACAACTGTAATTTAAGTGTGGCTATTTGTACTTAAATGCTAGAGTAGCATTTGGAGACATAACTAAGAAGTCATAAGTAGTTTCAATGCTGACACATGACCTAAAATCAGTAAAGGTTATAAAATCTCTTTTTGATAAAAAACACCATCTGGGCATTTCATATAAAATGAATTATCTTCCAAAATAAGTAAGAATTCATAGTGGCGGTTTGTTTATGAGTCACCAAAATGAACAATTGTATGTCATCAAGGCCCAAACTAAAATTGGCAAGTCTATAATTGGTTATCCTGGTTTCCTGATGCTCCTGGTTTTTCTAAAGGAAAAATATATACTTAGTACCCTACTATGCCTAGGGCCTCAGTGGGTCATGGGAAATGCAATGGAAGGCATGAAGGAACACAGACCCACCATATCATAAACAGGAGCAGAGCTCAACTTGCTTGTTAAAGTTATTAACATTCAGCCAGAGCTTGCCATCTTGCAAGTTAGAAGTGGCTCCTAGAGACAGTTTATATAACCCAGCCTCATTAAGCTGTCAAAGAAACATTTATCCAGTACTTCCATTTATTCCCATTTAAAATTTCATATAGCAAGCAAAAGTGGTCAAAATCATTGCAATGATCTCAGTACTGATACAAATTATCAGTCACTCAGATCAACAGCTCTGTGACAGTTGTTAGTGTAAACTGTGTCTTCAGACCATCCTTAAAACAGTTAACGAGTCATTATCTCCTACAAAAGCGGTTTTGGAACATCTCTTGCAAAACTACAAAGCATATGGAAGCTTCCTAATTACTTTTGTGAGCAACTTACTTAGAATGACATTTCATAAATATCTAAGATATATTGTTTATTGTATAACACAGAGTTTCTAGAGTGATTTTTAATTCTCCTCTATAGCCATGCAAGTTTTTATTTTACACTTAAGAAAACTGAAATCCAGAGACTTTTCTCTTACTGAGTGAGTGGTAGAACCTAAATTTGAATTATTTTCACTGCAAACCTGTAGCGCATCAGGCACCAAAGTCTCAGCAGCAAGCAAGTCAGAAATAGTCTCTGTCTCAGGGACATTTTATTACATGGGAAGACAACATAGAAACTGTAATTGTGGATGGAGTAAAGCACAACCCTTTAACAGAGGAGTAACAGTGGACTTCAATTTCTAGAAAGAGACATTCTCCAAATTATACTAATACATAGCCAAGATAAGAACCACTGACTTTGTGCCTGACACAGAGTAAGCCCTTGGGTGACTTTAATTTACATGGATAGCATTCATATTAAAATATGGAGTCTTGCAGGGTCTTTGATTTTTTTGGATGTGAAGAAAAACCCTGACTTTCATGTTGATCAGTTTCTATATGGTATTATGTTTCTCCTCTTTTTTTATTCCTGTAGGTGACTGAAGGGCATTGGAAATGGGGTGGTGTCACAGTTCAAGTGAACAGTGCTTTCTTCACTGGTATCTACGGAATGTGGAACCTGTATGTCTTTGCTTTGATGTTCTTGTATGCACCATCCCATAAGAACTATGGGGAAGACCAGTCTAATGGTGAGTCTCTGTCTCTTCATTACAGATTCATTCAAGATAAGTAGGCTTCTGTATTCATAAGATTTAGACATCTAAAGACCTGGTTTCACTTTCCTCTAGGTATCTTCTTGATACTGGGAGAGAATAAGTGAGCACTCTAGGGAATTCTGGAGCTATAAACCAAAAAGCTGGATAACTCTTGAAGTTTTTAACCTCCAAAATACATTGAAAATGTTTCATTATAGTATAAAATATGTGCCAGATATAGTAATAACCAATGAAATTTGTTTTCCTCAAATTTTTTTGAGCAAAGTTAACTCGTGGTTAAAAAGTATGTCACATTTATTCCTCTAATCTGGGAGGTACTGGGTGACAGTACTAGGTGAAGGAAAAGTGCTCAAAGCCTCACTTTTTCCACCTTGGTTTTCTTCAAGGATTTTGTCTGCCTATGTGTCTGTGTGTATGAGATGCTGAGATAACATCCAGGACCTCATGTATGCTAGGCATTGATCTTTATCCCCAACACTTCAGGAATGTTTTTTTT